ATTTATTGTCTTTATTGTTTGCGGAAGAGCATTGCTCGATGCAAATATTTGAATGTAATTCTACTGTCCTATAATCTTATGTCCATAGTTTACTTGAAAACCATTTCTAGGATTCCATCCTTCAGTGTAGCATATAAAAGCAGAATCATCCAATACAATATTAGAGCTCTGAGAAGCGATCTGGTGGATTAAATTGGCGAAACCGCTGGGAGGGTTCACCACTGATGAGCCAAATCCTCCCAATATATATTTTCATCGCAGTAAGGACAGTAGAAGTTTGTATTATGTATAAAAGAAACATTCGCGCTTTTAAATCTTTTCATTTTATGAAGGAATGTATACAAGAGTATGAGAAAACGGTGATGTCAGTATAGTGGGGGGATTGTATTAGGAGCTGGTCTAGAGAAAGGGACAAGTAAGTAATAGAATTATCGGTGTGTCGTACTACAGATGTTGATACAGCGCCCTGTATATGTTATAGACGTTATTTCTGTGTCTTTTTACATATCTCCCACCAGTTTTCTGAACTCTGTGATGACTGGAGAGAAACGAGTATATAGATCTCATTCTGAGTGACTTAGCAAAACATTTTATCAGATTTCCTACCCCTCCGTTATTTCCCGCCCCAGTTAATCAACTAGATAGGCTTGGAGGGAGGCAAACAACATTTCTAGGTTTCCTTGGGACCTTAATGTTGTCGAGAAAAAGGTCGATTGTGAGACAATTCCACCGCTAAAGTGTCCATTGTTGTCTGTTTGTCCCTCTGTTTGGGATCTGGAGCACTGGCCCTCCAACCTTGGTACTTGTGCTGGATACATGTACGGTGCCGTAGCTCTTTCACGACCTGTGTCTGACACTATAAGTATTGTGTGGTGGTACTTATCCTGAGTATTCCATGTCTATACACGTAGTAACAGGTCATGTGGGTAGAGGGTTGTGACTGCTTGTACTGTAAGTTCCCCCCATGTCTACACACGTAGTACCAGATCATGGTAGTTAGAGAGTTGTGACCTCTTGTGCTGTAAGTACACCACATGTCTACACAAGTAGTACCAGCTTATGGTGAATAGAGGGTTGTGACCTCTTGTAAATGTGAATTCTTGTACTGTAAGTACACCACATGTCTACACATGTTGTACCGGGCCATGGTGGATAGAGAGTTGTGACTTCTTGTACTGTAAGTACACCACTTGTCTACACACGTAGTACCAGATCATGGTAGTTAGAGAGTTGTGACCTCTTGTGCTGTAAGTACACCACATGTCTACACAAGTAGTACCAGCTTATGGTGGGTAGAGGGTTGTGACTGCTTGTACTGTAAGTACACCACATGTCTACACAAGTAGTACCAGCTTATGGTGAATAGAGGGTTGTGACTTCTTGTACTGTAAGTACACCACATGTCTACACAAGTAATACCAGCTTATGGTGAATAGAGGGTTGTGACCTCTTGTACTGTAAGTATACCACATGTCTACACAAGTAGTACCAGCTTATGGTAGTTAGAGAGTTGTGACCTCTTGTACTGTAAGTACACCACATGTCTACACACGTAGTACCAGATCATGGTAGTTAGAGGGTTGTGACCTCTTGTACTGTAAGTACACCACATGTCTACATACGTAGAAACCTTATGACTTGCCATCACAGGATGTCGTCTGGTTACTTGCAATTACTGCCTGGAATTGAGCATACTCAATGATACTACGGGTAGTTCTAGTGACAAAACCCCAAGTTCCATATTTTTAAAACAAAGAGTGAAAACAGCACCCAAAAAAAACGATGATGACTTATCTTGTCTGCGATACGTTTGTTATCTCTCCGTTTGTTTGTCTGATATACTCGCTCTATTCAATGTTATCTCTGGTGTTTGTTTAATTGGAACAAACTTTGCCCCCTTCTCTCTCAGTGGTTTACTGGAAATAAATATGTCGCAGGGATATGTGTGTTTATTGGTGGAAACGTTTTCGCTGGACTTGACGATCACCTACAGGCTTTATAATGCTTATATCGCTATAGTCAGTGTAGGGTCGGTGGAGCAGTGGTATAAACCGTCGGTTCTCGACAGACATCATACGGGATCGAATCCCGCATTGGGTATATTTTTCTTAATAATAAAAATGTTCTCCATTTCCCCACGATTCTTGTAACCTGTCAAACCCCGCCAGCTGCAAGTATATAAACAGGACTCTGGCACAGTATGTACCATGTTATATACATTCATGGACAAAACTTAAGGAAGTTGTACCTTCTAGCATGTATATGTAGTGTGATCCTGTTGACTCTTGTAGAATACTGTCGACTAAATATGTGATGAGGTATCCAGTCGACTTAAACTATGGTGTGAGTCCCTGTCAACTCTCGCTATACTGTGTTGACCGAGAGGAACAGTCAGGACGGGGAGTTTTCCAGTACCTCTCTGCACCTTGGAAGACCTTTTACAGTTCTCACTAAGTACAGGCAGTCGTGGTCGAGGCAGAGTGGAAAGCTTGTGAATGTCCATACACAAAAAACGAAGACACAGTTGCACTAAGAAAGTTCCGTGAACAGATAAAAGTTGAGCTAGGAGCGAAAGATGGAGATAGAAGAGTTCTTACTGGGCTACATGGTCGATGAGGTGGACCTGGGGTACAACCGACGAGGGCTCACGCAGATGGTGAACTGACTGTATTTTTGGCTAAAGACGGGGGCCTTTTATATATTTTCCGAAAAAGGGAGTGTTGCATTTCAACAGATCCGCGCGGGGCGTGAATCGTCTGGTGAAATTCTACTGGCGCCGTCCTGACAGTTTCCAATCTATCTTTATACCTTGTTGTGGGAATTCTAAATCTATCTCGATTTTAGACGTTTTTGATTTCTATCTCTTGCTTCAGCTCAACTCTTAATCTATTACAGAGTTTTATTTATTTATCCTCAGTTTGTACAATGTACATTACCTATGGTGATGTAATGACACATGTCAATCATGCGTATAATCATTTACAGATGTGTTTCTATTATACAACATGAAAATCTTGTTATAAGTTATATACAATATGGGGTTGTTGGTTTAAATTACCATATATATATCGGGACAATAACTCTGAAAGATATTACACTGACCTTTATTGAAGACGCACGAGATAAACAAGTGTGAACAAAATTGCCTCTGTCTCCTTCAAAAAAAAAAAAAAAAAAAAAAACAGACGACCGGTGACATCAAAGATTTCCACTTACTAAAGTTTTGTCTATGAGTGTATACCTTCAAACATAGTATTTAGATAGAAGTAAGTGGAGAATTCAGGGGAAGATTCGCCCAATTGTCGCGAGGCTGAGTTACTAATATCGCTGTTGTGTAATTACAATTTTTTACTTTTAACTAGTTAAAAAACCTACTTGAGAAGGAATCGGGTCAGCGTGTCTTGTTACGTTCTAACAAGGACACAAGTTTGTTTTTTTTAGAGCAGTTATTTTGTTTGAGGAACTCTGTAAAAAACCACATCTTTTTACAAGTAGGAAGGATTTGTGTGTCGTTATCTCTTTTTGGAGAAGGTCTTATTTAATGTTCACTACATCTCTTCCAGGTTTACTTAGATATGGGAATGTGGTACCATAGTCCTGGATGATGTGTTAGCTATCCTACAATACAGTTAATCTGGGGGCCAATAAAGAGGGAGCCAAAAGCTTCCCCATGTGCACTAGATGCAAAACCGAAGAGGCCACTCCCCAACATATACTAAATTGTCAAATTATAAAACTATTTTTGAGGCGTAATATTCTTTTTAAAATAAAACAATTTCTACTGTCCTTACTGCGATGGAAAAATTAAATACTCCATCTCAGTAAGGACAGTAGAAATTGTTTTATTTTAAAAAGAATATTACGCCTCTAAAATAGTTTTATAATTTGATAACAGATGGCGCTCTAGTACATCATATACTAAATTGTATTGGAAAGGACAAAGGATCCCTGTACAGAGAACTAAGAAGAGTTCTTGAGCTTCTTTATGAGCACGACCTCCAAGATCTTGTCTAATTTAGACTAATAAAAGGATAAGTAAAAAAAAAAAAAACAGTTAATTTCTTCTAAGGCAACGCCACCTTATATTCCAAGCTTTAAACATAAGCCAATAACACGCCACCTATATGTCCGAAATAGAACCATCAAGAACGAATATTAATTTTCACAAATAAGACAAACTTCCTACTGTCTTTACTGCGATTAGAAAATATTGGAAGGACTTGACTCACCAGCAGTGGTGAACCCTCCCAGCGGTTTCGCCAATTTAATCTACCAGATCGTTTTTTAGAACTCTAATACTGTATTGTGTACAATTCTGCTTATATATATACTACTCTTTAATTAAAAAGACATATATTGGATCAAAATATCATCTATTTTACCAATATTTCAGTTGGCTGAACGCCAACCTTTATCAAGGTATTATAACATATTTTAATGTGTGTCAACAACAAACTCAGCGCCACATAACTGTTGTTGTTGACACACATTAAATATGTTATAATACCTTGAAAAAAGGTTGGCGTTCAGACAACTGAAATATTGGTAAAATAAATGATACTTTGATCCAATATATGCCTTTTTAATTAAAGATTTATTTATGGATTCCTCTATTTTCAAAAATATATACTACTCTGAAGGGTGGAATTTTATTTATGGTATTAAGGCAAACTAAGGATATATAGGCTTTTAGGACATCAGAATTACAATAAAGTCATCCCTACATATGTACAAAATATAATATTTTAAAATTACAAATACATGGGCTAATTTAATACAACTTTTAAAGTTTGATTTCGTTATACACACCCGCACATGTACAAGTGAATCTTAGTTTTCACCAACAGTTCGTATTTCTCCATTTAACATTGTGAAGCCAGTAGAAGAGCATCGTTGTTCGAAATCTCACTTATTTCATAATAAAAATATACGTAAAACGACATTTGAAAACTATCCCGCATGTGTTTCTTTTCAACAATTATTTACGAACGGAAAAATATGTCTAGGGTAGTCTAATGGACATGGCATTTGCCCGGAACACTGTGGGTTCGATTCCCATCCTTGGACACTTTTATTTTTCCGTTTATCATTACTCTTCACAATTCACCCTTTCATACCTCATCCCAAAGGTTAGAAATAATCGTTATTACTCCTTGAAATTTTGATTTTTCGTTGAAAAGAAACACATGCGGGATAGTTTTCAAATGTCGTTTTACAATCACAAGCCGCATTATATTGTATTGTATTATAAAAAGATACGTATTGGTATTTTTTAAATTAATTTATAGAGAATAGCGTTCAAAAATGTTACTCAAAGAAAGGCGGTAGAAGTCTGTTTTATTAGGAAAGAAACATTCTTGCTTGAAGGTTGTATTCCAGGCAATAACGGCCAGTTTAAACAAGGAACTTCAAATATCAATGGTTGGTAAAACACATCAACCATCACAATTAACTACCCTACATTTCGGTGATCCATTGTTGTCCTTTTTCAAGGCAAAGGTTTCAAGTTTCCCACTTTGAAAAGGGCAACAGTAGGTCGCCCGAAACGTCTCTCGTGTAATATATCTCGTGTCAATTTCTATATATTTTCTTATTTGCAGTAGTTGAATAGCCGTATCGTAGAGAGGCCGCTCTTTTTTTCAAATATAATACAATTGTAGAGTGGTCTGGAGAATAATTTGGAGAAACCTCTAAGAGGATTCCACCACTGAGGAGTCAAGCTCTCACATTTAATAATTTCTATCATTGTATTTATACATTCATGGACAAAACATAAGGAAGTTTTAGCATGTATATTTGGACAATAACTCTGAAAGATATTACAGTGGCCTTTACAGTTGACACACGAGATAACCAAGTGTGAACAAAATTGTCTCTGTTTCCTTAAAAAAAAAAAAAAAAAAAAGACGACCGGCGATATCAAAGACTTTCCACTTCCTTAAATTTTGTCCATGAGTGTATACTTTTAAACGTAGTATGTAGATAGAAGTATGTGGAGAATCCAGGGGAAGATTCGCCCAATTGTCACGAAGCTGAGTTACTATTATCGCTGTTGTAATTACAATTTTTTACTTTTAATTTACATAGTTAAAAAACCTACTCGAGAAGGAATCGGGTCAGTGTGTCTTGTTACGTTCTAACAAGGACATGAGTGTCGGTCACATGTGGTCAGTCTATCTAACCTGCTCAGCCAATATTTACAACAACAACAAACAACAAAAAAGACTTTATTTAGGGTCACTGACCCTATACAGGATTCACCAGAGGTATGCATAAGAACAAAGCAGTGAGACAAAGGAAATAACGATATATACAGAGTAAAAAGAAAAAGAGAAAAAATAATAAGAAGAAGAAAGAGGGAAGCAAGAAATCAACACAGAAAGAGTAGCAGTAAGAAAGTGAGGAGTGAGTGTCACTTGGCCTTCTTCTGAGATATGGACTTGTGGAAACCATAAAACGCCGTAGCAATATACTTATTCTGGGTCATATTGTCAATTATTGATGGACTCAGCCAATATTTAGTGATATGACTGGTTGACCAATTAGTTCCTATCATGTTAATTACTTGGGTTCTCCTCTTTTTCCAAGAACTCCTTCACAACTTCTAAAAGAAGCTCCTGTAGCCACTGCATGTTCCAATCGACTTGGTTAAAAATAATGATGACAAAAAATGATAACAGTTTTTTAAAAAGACAGTTTTTTGTAGTTCTATTTTAAGATAGATACTGGACACAAAGTATTTTTTATACAACGCGGAAATATAACTTTTTTCGTCAACTATCGCATCAATGTTTTTTTTTACCAAGTTAGGGCGTATGTGGACCCCCACTGGTGTTCTGGAAATAACACTCGACTCCTGCCTTCAAACAGGGTTCAATTCACACATTGAATTTGTTTTGTTTTTTTGTTTCAATTTATAGATAAGTTTTATTTTTAAATGTTCTTTTAAATGTTTGTGTACCCCCATCCGTGTAGTCTTCCATTTTTCAAGTCTCCTCTTATACCCCCCTTGTAGTATTAATTTTACTATCTGGTGTTAGTTGGCTCATCTTTGGTGCCAGATCATAGGATCCCTAGTCACTGGAAGTCTGCCATGGGGGTTAGAAGACCATGCTTTAAATGGCCAATTAGCCCGGAATAGAAACTCAACGGAGGTGTTAGTTGGCTCATCTTTGGTGCCAGATCTTAGGATCCCTAGCCACTGGAAGTCTGCCATGGGGGTTAGAAGACCATGCTTTAAATGGCCAATTAGCCCGGAATAGAAACTCAACGGAGGTGTTAGTTGGCATTTATCACCATATGTTCCAGTTGTTGACATTTTCTCTCCCGACATTTATTCGGATTTTTTCTATATGAAAAAGTTCTCTATAAATAAGTATAGAATCTAAATATATAGAAGTTATGGGGTTTTCCTGCATCGCTGCCTTGTGAATTCCATATATAAATGGAAACATTGTAAAATATAATGAGTAGATAGGATTTATTATCGAAAAGTACCTCTCCCTTTTATATTAATGCATTAAACCTTTGGAATTGATTTTTATAAATTGTCCCTTTCCAAAGTCCTAGAAGCATATGTCCAAAAGTCATATAAGCATATGTAATGTGTATGTCTATAGCTCTCTTAAAATATCCATTTACTGTATTCAATAGCAAATACAGGATATAAGAAATTCATTATATGTCTGCACATGTAGGAAACAGTTCGAATTTTGCACTTACAAATGAGCTAGAAACCTTTTTGATTACTTGCACATACTGTTGGGATCAGACTTTTGCAAGAATCGGGAGCCATTGAAGAATTTTTTTTTCGAAAAAAAAAAAATGTCCAGGGCGGGATATGATCCCGGGTAATGGATATCGAGCTTCAACAGTTAATACCTCTCCTCCACCAATCCGGTATGTACAAATAATTATGGCCATTCGAGTGTTGTTACCATCCTCTTTCCCCGTATATTTTGAGTTTATAATCTATATATATAAAAATGAATGTATGTGTGTGTGTGTGTGGTCTGTTTGTCCTTTATGCCTGACCAAACCACTCATTGGAACGCCATGAAACTTTGGGAAGTTATTTAGTATAGTACTGGGAAGGTTTCTAGCAAATAAAATTTTTGAAATAACTTTTCGCTTTAAAATAATCAAGATAAATATTCTAATTTATCTGTTATAATTCAACAATCTGCTCTAAATATTATCATGATGATACGATGATTTTGTAATGTAGAAAATTAGGAAAGACAAAATTCAGGATGACACGGCAATTTATTTGAGACAAGAATAATGATACAATTCCAAGGCAAGATACTATTCCTTTAACTTCCAATTACCGAGGGAACCAATTAATATTGATTTTATTCAACTTATCGAGTATTTTTAAAGGGACCGGGGAAAAATGTTCACTTTATCGAGAGATTCGTTAGACAAACCTTTACTCGGGTAAAACCCGGGCGAAGCCGGGTACATCCATACAAGAATAATGATACAATTCCAAGGCAAGATAATATTCCTTTAACTTCCAATTACCGAGGGAACCAATTAATATTGATTTTATTCAACTTATCGAGTATTTTTCAAGGGACCGGGAAAAAATGTTCACTTTATCGAGAGATTCGTTAGACAAACCTTTACTCGGGTAAAACCCGGGCGAAGCCGGGTACGTCCTCTAGTATGTATATACATATTCTTTTTTTTTTTTTTTTTTTGTGATATTTAAAGATTTTTAATAAAGTGAAGCGCTGCTGAGGTAGCCATTTGACACACCCTCATGTGGATTTACAGAGCCGGATTGTTGGGTTTTCTCTTCCCGCTGATATTAAGTTCAATTATAATTAATAATGACACTTAATCATTTTAGAGAATGTAAGGGCATATATGTCCATATCGTCTCTTGCTCGGTATTTTGATTAATCTAAATTTCTCTTCTGTTATTACCATCCGAGGCAGACTGTGGAAGCTGGCAAGGAGGTCGTTGTAGAGCTGAATAAGCCAGCAGCTGGGAGAAGGCAGGTGCTGCTAGCTCCCAGATGGACCATGGGGTGAGATAGACCTCGAGTACATTCTTGAACTGCCTTCTCTCTTCTACATTACTTTCTCACCTAGCGCTCAAATCAAACACTTACTTTTTAACACACATGACTTCAATAAACAGGATCTATCTAATTTTCGTGAATAAAATCTGACAAATTGAAGAAAATTTCTTAACAAAACGCTCTTTGTATTAGAAATAAACTTTTGTGCCATCTATTGACCGTCTCTACAATTTAGTAGACTCATTTTTCTTGAAAATAAAGATACTTCGGCCAGTAAATATTTTTATTATAAAGAAAATAAAGTCTCCAGGGCTAAGTTTCTTGCTCAAATTTATATTTATTCTCAAGCTTTCGGACCTGTCAGTCCTTCCACAGGAGTATCACAGTAACAATTTGATGGAATATATACTACATAGTAATTTTTTGCATATTTATAAAGTTTTAATTTAACAAAGATAATAATAATAGATAGATATTTACATATAAGATTACGTAATAGACTTTATATATTTAACTATATTTTAAATCTAAGGCTTAGTGTTTGTTAATATATTATGTTAATCTTTTTATATTAACAAACACTAAGCCTTAGATTTAAAATATAGTTAAATATATATGTTACTTGCCAACATTGTTGTATTGTGCTGTAAAAAACAATATCATACGCAATAAATAAAAATATATATGTTAATATGTTAATATTATGTTAATCTTTTTATAAATTCAATGGAGGAATCTCCAATCTCCATTCTGTCACCCCGGAAGCCCTGAACTGGCTGAAGGCCTTGCCTCTCAGACTTTAATGACCGATATGTCCTCACTTCTTTTTTCTAGATTTAATTCATTTTGTCTCCTCTCTAATTGTAAATACGCTGCTGTATCACCTCATAAGCATAAATAAAAATATTTTTATTATCTCGAAATAGATTTACTGGCCGAAGTATCTTTATTTTCAAGAAATATGAATGCCGGCCAGGCAGCCTCTATCTTTACGTTAGTAGACTCAGTTCGGTGACAAAGCCATAATACCATCTTT